AGAGATTTTGTGGCTCCAGTTTTAAGGATAATTTGGAAATGTCACAACTTTAACATACAGTTAAAATGCCCCAGTATTTTATCACTACAGCCGAAATTAACATGCAGTCCATTTGGATTTTAACAACTAGGAAAAGTTAAAAAAAAGAAAAAGAAAAAAAATCTTTAGCTGGAAACCCTTCAGTAGTATCTAATTTGGCTAGAGTTCCTTGTGCTTTCTGCAAAATGACGCAATGTAATCCTTTTGGTATTACATAAACAGTTGTTTGAGTTTTATCAAATTGACTTTCTGCTCATGCCAAGAGGAGTAATTCTCTGTGGGCGAAAGTGACTTTGAAGATTAATAGGTAACAGAATGGGTGCACGTGGGCCTACGAACATTTAAACATTTTTAGTGATTTTGAATGTGTGTACTTTGAAAAATCTAGATGTCTCACCTTTCTATGTAAGGTGCCTGAGGGAGAGGCATAAACTCTTGTTAGGGCTGTGACATTTTCGGGGATTCACACTGACCTCCCATTGACAAAAGGTGGGGTTTACATCTCTCTGGGAACCACCACAAGCTTTGAGTACTTGATTTCAGGAGAAAAGGCCTTAGCTGTGAAGTACCTGGGCGTTGGTGCATGCCGACCTCTCTGTAAACACAGAACACAGTCACAGGCCGAGACTGTCGGACGGCAGGCAGCCAGCTCGTGTGGCGCTGCTTAGGAAGGCCAGCCCTGCGAGGCAGCGAGCGCCCCCAACTGTGTGAGCAAGAGGCACGCCAGGTTCTCAGTTCTTGGGTCTGCAGCCTCCTTGTCTGTGCTAGAACCATGTGCGCCTGTGTGCATTTCTCAGAAGATTCCTCATCTGAGTCCATTTATCTTGTACTTTTGAAAGAAGGCAAGTCCCCAGTCATAAAAATGGAAACCAGCCTAGGTATTTTAGTAGAGAGGGGTTTAATAAAAGGATCTGGATTTGAGCTGTTTTGGAAGGGCAAGCAAAGGAGGGGAATGCAGTCAGAAGTTCTGTTCCTGCAGTCAGCTGGCGGCCCAGCCCTGCTGGGTGGTCTGCACAAAGCCAGCACCATGAGCTGTGTCCCTTTTGCCAACGTGTGGCCAGGTAGTGGTGAAAGCACTGGCCAGCTCCTGCAGCCACCAGCCATGGCTGCTCCTGTGAGGGCTCAAAGTAGAGCAGTGGCCGATGCCAGAAGCACAGGCCCACCCTCCTCCTCCTGCTTTCTGACCCTGCACTGGCTCCCCACAGATAGAATGTAAAGAGAGCCCTGGTGGCAAAGGAGTCTAGGAAATGTCGTTTCCTATCTTCAGCCACCTAGGATGTAGAAGAAAGTACGGAAGACGGGTACCATCTGGCCCAAATGGCCATCACAGGACTCTAGAAGATGGTGTCACCATGCTTTCACCATTTCGGCATTTACTTTAAATTAATTTTAATATAAACGTTTCTCTTCATTTTTCAAATTTAAGGTTTTATTTCATTTATTCCTGGAAGGGAGAGCATGGGTGTGCGTGAGAGAGAGAACAGGATCTTGTCCCGCCATGATCCCCTCCCCAGCCAGCCAGTTCCTTAGGATCCTGGGCTTGCACACATGAGCCTGGTGTGTTTGCAGGCCCACCCATCCCAGCGAGGCCTGGCAATCACAGTCAGCCCTGTGGCTTCTAGCACTGCAGTCAAGTTTGTTACCAACTGCACCACCAGGCTGAGCTGAAAAAAATCATTTCTGATCATTTCTCTGTGGGAGAGTCAGAAAGATCATCAGTTTTATATTAAAGAATATTTGCTGGTGGGCTACCATGTGGTGTGGTGGTTAGGGGCACTGGACTCCCACATGGGTGACCGTAGTTCGAGTCCTGGACCCAGTGGCTTGCTTTCTCAGTTTCCCTCTCTTTCTCTCTCTTTCGCTCTGACCCTCTCTGGTCAAAATTAATTAATTAATTGGGACAAGCAGTTGGAGTAATGACTATGTCACTGAACTCCCACATAGTCGACCATGGTTCACTCCCTGGACCGGGTGGTTTAAATTCATGCCGGGTGTGTGTGCATGTGTGCCCAAGATCTTGAGAGGAGAATGGAGGAGAAGGGATTGAAGTGTGGCCATCCCCCCCGGGGGGGGAAGGTGATTTCTTGCTTTCTATCTCTCTGTCTCTCTTGTTTTTCTGGTGAGCGCATGCACCCTATAGGAAAAACCTCTCAAAAAAAAAATTCATTCATTCATTCATTAAGTTAAATAAAATAACTTTCTTTTATTTTATTTTTAGCAAGCTCTTTTTTTTCTTTTCTTTTTTTGGAGAGGTTTTTGCTATAGGGCGCATGTGCTCGCCAGAAAGACAGAGAGAGACAGAAAGACAGAAGTGAGAAATCACCCCCCCAGGGGGGATGACCACGCCACAATCCCTTCTCCTCCATTCTCCTCTTGAGATCTTGGGCACGCACGCACACACGCCAGGTCCGGGACTCGAACTGTGGTCGACTACGTGGGAGTCCAGCAACATAGCCATTCTGCTAACTGTTGGTCCCAATAAAATAATTCTTAAAAAAATAATATTTGGTGGGCATTTTAATTTATACAATTCAAAAGCAGATGAGCACATTCACGGAGGGGACACCTCTTGCTAGGCCTCTCTGCGTCCTCTGTGAAAAGCAGGCCTGTGCCCCCTTCGAGGTGACCTGCCGGTCTGAGGTACGGCTGGTTCTCCTGTTTGGGTTTTGTGTTTGACACTGGCCACTCCTGTGCTAAAGCGAAATGTGAGTTTTCTCAGTAGTTAGTCCGTTTGCTCCTTGTGGTCTTACGCATGCACTTTTATTGTAGTTGCATTCTTCACATGTTTCATTCCAATGGGAAATATTTCAGATAATCATCACATGTTTACTTAAAATGTTTGTACCCTGGAAAACCACAGTGATGGTACAAATCCCTTTAAATTACTGTGGTTATTACTATTGTGCATATATGAACCCTTCTCACTCTTTCATCTCTCTTTTTTTTTTTTTGTTTTGTTTTGAGAGGTTTTTGCTATAGGGCATGTGCGCTCACCAGACAGACAGAGACATAGAGACAGAAAGTGAGAAATCACCCCCCAGGAGGGATGGCCATGCCGCAGTCCCTTCTCCTCCATTATCCTCTCGGGATCTTGGGCACGCATGCACACGCGCCCGGTGTGTTTTAAGCCACCAGGTCCGGGACACGAACCACAGTAGACTACGTGGGAGTCCAGCAACATAGCCATTACGCTAACTGCTGGCCCCCTACTCTTTCATCTCTGTCGATCTCCCACAACTCTGTGAGATGGGCCAGCAATCCTGCCCCGACTTTTCTGCCAGCTGTGTTAGGTGACAGGTCATTACCTGTAGAACCAAGGCAAGAAATTGAGGTTTTTTTTGAGAGATTTTTGCTATAGGGTGCATGCCCTTGCCAGAAAGACAGAGACAGACAACGAGAAATCACCCCCTTAGGAGGAATGGCCACGCCACAAAACCTTCTCCTCCATTTTCCTCTTGGGATCTTGGGCATGCAATACACATGCGCCCAGTGTGAGTTTAAGCTACTGGGTCTGGGACTTGAACCATGGTTGACCACATGGAAGTCCAGCAACATAGCCATTACACAAACTGCTGGTCCCAAGAAGTTGAGTTTTATAGATAAGTTTTACAGTTTGCTTATGTATTCTTGAGACACTCACAGTTCCTATTCTAGCCCGTTAATTGTCCCTTTCGCAGTGTAAGAAGTCGTCTCCAACTGGGTAGACATACCACTCGAAGTCTGCAAAGACAATCACAGGGGTGGGGGGCTGGGCACTTCTACAGGAGGCACTTTTCAGACCCTCAGCTCACATTCGACCTCTGTCCCGAAGCAAATCTGCCTGAGCCTGGGCCATGATGAGCATGCAGGTCCCTGTCCAAAGTGGTCCTTTCTGTGCTTTGCCAAATGACTCGTGCCTCTTTCCCATCTTACTAGGCATTGAGTTGAGGTTTTCAAACCTGCGGTGCACCTAATAATGAGACCATTTGAAATAGTGTTTTAGTATTGAGAGAGCAATTAAGAAAATAAATGACTCATGACTTAATTAAACAACTTTTCATGGGTGTGGCAGGTTCCATTTCCCTTAGAGCAAGACTGTAGGAGGACTTAAATAACATGTTGGCCAACAGAAGAGCAAACGTAACTTGATGCTAGGTCGCTGAGTGAATTTGGCCCATAGCTAAGGATGAGTTGAGTGTAATGAACTCTCTCCATTCCCGTCTATTTATGTCTCCATACAGAGATGCTTTCTTGGCCTCTAAGTTTATAAAAATGAAAAACGGGAATAGGACTGATACTGAGCCCTAACTCATTCTAGTAATAAATAAGTTTTTTCACCGAATACTTGACCTAACTGGAAAAACCCAGCTTCTCTTAACATTCTTCTGGACACAGAGATGTACATTTCCAACAAGATTTTGTAATCATTATCTTTAAAATTCGGGATATATTTTTATCCCTGGTCAAAGAGTTACTGTAATTATAACCCAAACAGAAAAAATTCTAATATTTAGAAACTTATCGTCATAGGAATCTTTAACATAGTAAATGTAAGTCTGCACACATAATTTATCTCACATGGCAAGCTATTTCCTACATAAAATATATTATGTAAGGGGAAAGTACATGGGAATGAAATGAGAGTTCAAAGAGAAAAAAGATGGTTGTAATGTTGAACTCCTTTTTCCTCGGTGCGGGGAGATGTCCATTCACCGTGGATGGTATTTATACTCTATTGGGTGCACTTAGATGAATGATGTAATGACAGAACTTTAAAAGAACAGTATTTATAATATCTGGAAATCTGCGGTTATTTAAACTGGCCAAGAAAATCTTTATATGCCAACATAAAAATATGCATGTGATATATTTTCAGAATTGATGTAAGGAGTGTGTGAAAAAAGTGAACGATCATTCGTTTATACAAGAGACCTGGCGTTTTGAGGATAAGCATGCCCGTGTGTCTTCTCTTGTTCTCACAGTTTGACCTTGTCTGTGTCAATGCGTGGATGCTGGACCTCACCCAGGCCATCCTGAACCTTGGCTTCCTGGCTGGGGCCTTCACCTTGGGCTATGCAGCAGACAGGTAAGTGCGGACAGAATAATGCTGGACAGCAGGGTGACACAGTGTACACACAGGGAGGACACGCACATGTCAGTGACCCCTGGAGGGCTAGTTTCTTTTATTGTGTCAAAGTAAATGTTTCAGGTGATCTTTTTCCCACTTTCTTTCTTGAAAAGGTATGGCAGAATAGTCATTTACTTAATATCCTGTTTCGGCGTTGGCATTACCGGCGTTGTGGTGGCTTTTGCACCAAATTTCCCTGTGTTTGTGATCTTCCGCTTCCTGCAAGGTGTGTTTGGAAAGGGGACGTGGATGACTAGCTACGTGATCGGTAAGACATTGTTGCACCTTCTTCTCTGTTGGAGAACTGGGGTTAGATGGCTGACACAGGACAAGTCAGCTGAGGGCAGCTCCCTTGCAGTTAGCTGGTACCCCTGCAAACAGCGGGCTCCAGGGCAGGCTTCTGTCTACTTTGCAAACGCAAATGCCCTCTTCCTCTGGGACCCAAATATGGACTATCAGAATCTACTTGGTGAGAACCATCTTCTAACACCCTCCGGTTTTCACATGATTTCTAACTTTGCGTTATTAGAAATTAAATTTAGGGGACCAGCAGGTGGCATGTGGTTAAGGTGCTGGACAATCCCACATGGTCGATCATGGTTCGAGTCCTGGACCTGGTGGCTTGCCTTCTCTCTCTCTCTCCAAATTAAAATTATTGTATGAATAAATAAAATTAAATAAGCAATTCTTTTTAAAAATTAAACATTTATAAAAATATTTTTAAAGCATTTTCTGTGTATTATGTTCTGTGGAACTGTTTGAGATTACTTTCCTGTAGTCTCAAATATTATCTTTAACTTTCCTCTTCCCATATGAGTGGGGAACATTTTACCAGGTGGGTGATAAGTCTTAAAAATAAGAAGCTCATTTGTGACCCATTGCTATTTTTCATAACTAGAAAGTTTAACTTTCTGGGTATCAGAAGAAGAAAAGCTTCCTTTCACTCTTTCTTATTTCCTTCCTTTTCTTTCTTTCTTTCTCTTTCTTTCTCTCTCTCTCTCTTTCTTTCGTTCCTTTTTTTCCCCCCTTTCTTCATATTATGAGAGAAAGTCCTGGCTGCTCCCCTGGGTTCTGTTTCCATCTATTTTCAGTTCCATTTTCAGCCACCTACATTAAGAGCCTTGCTGGATGTGTGGTCGAGGACCCGAGATGCCTGCTCTCAGACCCGTGCTTTAGGTCTCTGGGCTCCGAGCCCTGCCCATTCTGGTTACGCAGTCCCTAAGCAGTGACCACCATGGAGACCTTTTGCAAATCATCTTAAGGATGGGAAAGTGGAGGAGTCCGACCCAGTGAGGCCCTAGGATTTGTCTGAACCCCTCGACCTTTGAGCTCCGCTTTCGGTCAGATTAACACGTTGGCAAGGCCACTGTTGTGCCCTCCCCCCCCCCCCCCCCGACCTTGGAACAAAGCTTGGTTCAATTAGCATGTCAGCAAGGCTGTTTGCTATTTGCTCCAGAAACTGTGGCAGCCTTACTGGGAAGCGACCCCCCTCTGGCTCTCCAATATACTACTATAAAAGAATTACATAGCTCTCTTATATATCTTGAGTATACAATAAAATTTTTTAGAAAGTCCCCTGACCGCTCCCCTTTGCTCTAATCACTTACTATTAATTACATTGCTTTATCTCTATAGTCACAATAAAGGGTGGGCTAAAGTTTTTTCTAGGCAGAAGTAATCTTGACATTTGGAAGGCCCTTCAAAATACATTTTAGGTAAACTTAATCTTTTCTTTACCTAAAATAGGATTAGGCCAAAATTGGCCCAGGACACCTCCGCCCTCTCTAAGTGAAATAAATAAATATATTAGGATTCTTTAAATTAAGTTTTAAATTCCTACAAAACTGTATAAGTATCATTCTTTATTAAAATCTATAAGAACTAATATCTATTCTTGAGATTTTCTTTTTTTAGCACTATTCCCAGTAATCACAAAATGGCTGCTATGCCACATCAGCTGATAATTATCTCTGTTTACCGAAACTGCTTTCTCAAAACTGCATTTCATGGAGACTCACTTACAATTGCGAAACTACACTAGACCCACCCTTAATCTAACCCTGAATAAAATTTATGTTCCCTATTTTTAAAACTTTATGAGCTAATAATTGAAACACGTAGTCCCTCTTCTATTTATTTGTATGTAACACGTTTTTAATAAAAACGCGTGATGATTCCTAGCAGTTGTCACTCCTCAGAGAGCGATCTTTGAGGAGTGTCCGGCAAAGGACGTGCATAAAAAAGCATCAAGGCCTTTGTCTTCTGTTCACCTTCACTGCCTCCGTCAAGATAACCCACCCATGCCAAGGCTAGTCCCCGGCAGGAAAGAGAGTACAAGGAGGGGCCGATTGTCACTGGTTGGAGCAGACAGGATTACTTTGGAACGTGAGGCATTTTTATGGAGACCCAAGTTTACATGAATTTTCAAAGTTGTGATCTTAGGCCCCCTCATCCCAGGGCTACCCACATAGAGGAGACCAGGCCCATCTGCAGAGGGTGCACTGCTAGGGTGCTGTGCTCTGCAGGCCTGCAGGAGGCCCAGGTTCGGCTCTTGGTCTAGTTTACTGGCCTCATGCTGTGCTGTGGGCTTGTCATCCCAACTGTGGAGACTGAGGCAGCAGGACCAGGAGCTCACGGCCGGCCTGGGCAACATGGCAGCACTGTCTAAGGAAAGAGCCAGGTGTAGTGGCACTGTCTCGTGATAATGCAAGACATTTGCAGAGTTCAGTATTCATGATGACTCTCCCAAAGAGACGATAACATCGTTGAGTTCTGGAGTGTTCTAACGATGCTGGTACACAGAGCAGGTGTAACGTCTCTGTATTGTCTATTTTGGAGCTGATTTTGAGTTTCCCTAACCTCTTGTGTTTGTTTTCCTTCAGTGACAGAAATAGTTGGCTCAAAACAAAGGAGGATTGTGGGGATAGTGATTCAAATATTCTTCACTCTTGGAATCATAATTCTCCCTGGAATCGCCTACTTCATTCCCAATTGGCAAGGGATCCAGCTAGCCATAACGCTGCCCAACTTCCTCTTCCTCCTTTATTACTGGTAATGTGGCTTTCATTATCACAGTTATACTTATTACACAGAAATGTAGAGCCCAAGCCAGCCTGAAAATACACGCAAAACAGAGATCTAACTTTTCCAGGATGGCTATGGGCTCTGAGGGTTTTTGGGGAATTTCAGCACTTATTAAAACTATGAGAGGTCTTCAAAAGTTTATGGGAGATGTGTTTTATGAAAAAACTATGGGTGGATTTCAAAGCTGTTTGCACCGAAATAAACTCATACTTTAGTTCCAGTTTTCCACAAATGTTTTGAAGTCCTTGTAAAAGGGAATAAACTGTATCTGCCAGGGGACCAGCAGTTAGCCTAATGGCTATGTCGCTCCCATGGAGTCGACCATGGAGTCCACCACGGTTGGAAGCCCGGACCCGGTAGCTTAAAAAACTCACACCGGGTGCATGTGTGTGCGTGCCCGAGATCCCGAGAGGAGAATGGAGGAGAAGGGATTGCAGCGTGGCCATCCCCCTGGGGGGTGAGTTCTCGCTTTCTGTCTCTCTGTCTCTCTCTGTCTGTCTGGTGAGCGCACGCCCCCTATAGCAAAAACCTCTCAAAAAAAAAAATAAATAAAAACAAAAAACAAACAAACAAAACACCTGTATCTGCCAGTATTTCAATGTAGAAATTAAAGGCAATGAAATCTACCTGCATTTCTGTACATTCTATTAAGCAAATTAATATTACTTGGGAATTCTCTGAGATATAAGAAAATGTTAAGTGTCAGAAAATTAAATTATCATGAAGCCATGGTGTATTCTTTTTAGGTTGTGTTTTGTTTTTAGATTTTTCCCATAGGGTATGTGCGCTTGCTGGAGATAGAGACAGACAGAGGAAAAGTGAGAAATCACCTCCCATGGGCACGGTCACGTGTAGTCCCTGCTTCTCTATTCTTCTCTCGGGATTTTGGGCATGCACCCATACACGTCTGGCATGATTTTTCTTTTTTAAGAGATTTTCACAACAGGATACATGCACTCATCAGAGAGATAGAGAGACGGAAAGTGAGAAATCACCTCCTGGGGAGGGGGATGACCACACTGCAATCCCTTCTCCTCCATTCTCTTCTCAGGATTTTGGGCATGCACACAAACATGCCCGATCTGATTTTTAAGACTCTGTGTCCAGGACTCAAACAGCAGTTGACCATGTGGGAATACAACACCTTAACCACCATGCAACCCGCTGGCACCTGCATTTGATTCTTTTTGAGCGAATATATTTTCTTTCTTTCTTTTTCTTTTTTTTTCTTTTTTGAGAGGTTTTTGCCATAGGGCGCATGCGCTCGCCAGACAGACAGAAAGAGAGACAGACAGACAGAAAATGAGAAATCACCCCCGTAGGGGGGATGGCCACGCCGCAATCCCTTCTCCTCCATTCTCCTCTCAAGATCTTGGGCACGCACACACACGCACCCAGTGTGAGTTTAAGCCAACATGTCCGGGACTTGAACCGTGATCGACTACATGGGAGTCCAGCAACATAGCCATTACGCCAACTGCTGGTCCCTGTGAGAATATATTTTATTTATTGAATTTTTTTTAAATAATTGTCTATTTAGTTTTATTTATTTATTTTTCAATTTTGCTATATGGAATGTGTGCTCACCAGAGAGAGACAGAGAAACAGAGTGAAAGGGAAAGTGAGAAAGTAAGCTACCAGATCCAGGATTCAGACCATGGTTGGCTATGTGGGAGTCCAGCGTCTTAACCAGCTGGTTCCCGCGAATATATTTTAATCATCCCTCTAATTTAATTTTAGTGTATGGGCAAATAAGTTTACAATAAACCAGATGTTAACTTTTCTTTAAATATTTATTTGATTCTAATTTTCATATGTGTGATCAAAGTCACTTTGTCGTAGGATCGGTTGGTCTTGTAAGAGTGTTGTCACAGTGATCATTTTTATGAACGGTGATCTGATTATCAAGGTAGTATGTTCCCATCCATTATCCATTTGTGAAGATAATCTACATTTCGGAAAGCCTGTTATCAACTCTCAGAATCTCCTAAACTCGTATCTTTTTCAAGATCCATTTTGATAGAAAAAACTCGTCATAAGCTTTCAAGTTTGACAATCCCAGGCATAACTCACAAAGCCTCCTTTGCCAGGGCGGTTCCTGAGTCTCCACGCTGGCTGATTACTCGGAAGAAAGGAGAGAAAGCCTTAGAAATTCTGAGACGTATCGCTAAGTGCAATGGGAAATATCTCTCACCAAATTACTCGGAGGTAATTTAATTTACACTGGTAACAGATGTTGTTCAAGCAGGTAAACTAATTTTTTTTGCCATGTATGAGCTTTGTTTTGCTTCTTAAAATTGTATGTACATTACCAAATAATATTTGACCGAATCGTTTTTAGATTGACTTAACTAGAAAAATAATTGGTGAAAAGTCTTAAGATACATTAAAGAAATGGCTGTGAAGCTGCAATAGCATGAGTTGAGTTTGCCTTATGATTTCAGTCTGCATGTTAGTAGTTGCTCCAGGTTACCTGAGTCACTGTACTTCACTGACTCGGGAGCCGCATAGTATTTAGTGATTTCATCTTGATTGTATAAATTGTAAATCTTTTCTTGACATTCAATTTACTCTAAAGATTGTTTTAAAATTTGGTTTTGGAAATACTATTTATTCGAACCAGCATTTGAGCAGTCGTATAATATTTCAGCCTTTAGACTTTGTGCATTGGTCTTCCTTTCTTCCTTCTTTCTTTCCTCTGACAAAGGCCTTTGGGGTGCCTCTGTATCATTGTATTAAGAGAAACAAGGGATACTTAAAAGCCCTTTCTTGGGGACTGGCAGATGGTGTGGTGGTTAAAGGCATTGGACTTCCACATGGCCGACCGTGGTTCAAGTCCCAGACCTGACGGTTTGCTTTCTCATTTTCTCTTTCTCTCTCTCTTGCTCACGCTACCTCTCTCTGGTCAAAGTAAAATAAATAAATGAAGTTAAACAAAAGTATTCCTTAAAAAATATAAACTAAAAGCCCGTTCTTGGCCCTTTCGAAGACTTGATACGCAGTTGAGGATCCAACACGTGCACTGGCGGCAGCCCTGGGTAATTAGAGTAGCGTACAGTGAAACGCATGGCCGTGCTTAGCTGTAACTAAGCATATGCAGAGTAACAGTGGCTATCACAAAACATAAAGCTGAGAAGAATTTTTGGAAGATCTGATCCTGATTTAAACTTCAAAGCATGTTAGGCTGCTGGCATCGTTGTCTTCATAGCATTCGGTGAGCTTTGATGGCAATGGCAATAAGAACATTCTGATGAGAAATGATTCATTAGTTTTATCCTCCCCTCATCAGCCCCCCCCCATGGCTTGGCCAGACAGACATAGAGTTCTTCCTCCTTCCTTCTACGAAGGGACGAGCAGAAGTCTCTGTGTTGACAAGAGTTTCAGTGACCAGTCGCCACCGCTGCGAGTAGGTTAACAAGATACCTTGATTACAGGTTGTAAACGTCTAGGAGAGAGAAACCATGATCGTGTTTAACCAGACTGGTCAATCCTTGTCATTCTTTGAGCGAGCACATTCGAGCTGTGTGTCCCTTTCAGGGAAAGGCGTGCTTTCCCACGTGTTCTCATCTGGCGGCCTCACGCTGGATCGAAGGTATGAGCATAGTGTTCAGTTTTCGTAGTCAAAGGAGTGGTTTCTGCTATTCTCGTCGCATGTCCTGAAAGGATGCACACACAGTCCCTGAGGTGAGCGGATATAAGATCTAATCCAAGTTTCTGAGAGTATAGAAAAAATGCTTGGGCGATGGCTTCTGAACCAGAGTGGCAAGTTAACCTGGCTTGTCGTGTGCTATGCGTGCTGAGTATCACTGTTCTACGTGGTGAGTATCACGGGGAAACCAGGGTCTGATTCCCAGAAGCAGCTGCTGTCAGTCATTTATTTTCTCTTAACCGATATTTTTCCAGTCTAAGTGTTCTGATTACACCCATGGGCCTCTGTCTTTTTATTTCCTATTGCTGTGGTTTAGATGTTTCTTCAAAATCCACGCATCAAGATTTAGTTGTGATGGAATTAAGAGGGCCAAAAAATTAACCCAAATATGGTACTAAAGGTGGAACTGGGTTAGCCAGGTGTCATGGTGGTCAGGGTGACTGTGTCTCACATGCCTGGCTCTGCAGTTGGAGTCCTGGACCTGGCAGCTTGACAAACACACCAGGAGTGTGTGCGTGGGTGCCCAAAATCCTGAGAGGAGAATGGAGGAGAAGGGATTGTGACATGGCCATCCCCTGGTGGGAAATTTCTCACCTTTTCTCGGTCTGTCTGTCTCCAGTGAGCGCATGTATCCTATAGCAAAAAAAGAAAGAAAGAGAGAGAGAGAGAGAGAGAGAGAGAGAGAGAGAGAGGGAGGGAGGGAGGGAAGGAGAGAGAGAAAAGAAAGGTGGAGGGGCTTATATGGAGAGGAGTGAACAGAGAACATGGACACAGACATGCATTTATGGTCACTTCTGTGTTGTGGTACAGCCAGAAAATCCTCACCAGATGCACCCCCTGGACCTTGGCCCTCCAAACCCTGAGCTGAATAAGCCTCGATTTTTTATAAACCACTCACACACACAGGTATTTTCTGTTATTGGTCACAGAATGGACTAGAAATACTGGATCCTGGAAGTAAAACGTAGCACAAATAAGATCCAGGTTTCATGGGTACTTCATGAGTGGCTTAGTACGTTTCCAGTAAAGGAGATCCCGCGTATACTTGTCTCGCCTTCTGGGAAGTTAGCTACCACTATCTTTGCCTGGATGTATCAACTCACAGAGGTTGCAAAATGGCAATATTCTCATTTAGCATTATTTCTTCATCCATCACTGGACTGTTTATATAAAGGAATGAACAAATATTTGAGAGTCCACACTTTTGATGTAGTAGACTCGGGCTATTGATAGAAGTGGAGAGCAGGGCTGTTTCTCAGTGGCCTTTTCTTATCAGGAAGTGCCGTTATCTGGGATGGTTGTTAATGCTCCCAACCACTCACTTCCTCTCTGTAAGCTCACACCTCCCGCCCCACTCATTGCCACGTGGCTCACAGCAGCACCTCTCTGCAGACAATGTCCTTTCCCGCCATGTGTCAGTGTTGGCCATCTGACTTCCTTGCGTTCCCACGAACATGCAGCAGAACACCAGGTCAGAGTAGAAGCGTTAGGAGGCATCATGGGTTTCCAACAACCCTTTGGCTCTTTCCATCTGCCACGAGAGCAGCACATCCCCATCAGAGCTGCCCCTTCAGCGTGGGTCTCAGAACGAGAAGAGCTTCTACTGGGAGCAGAGCTGCAGCATTGACCTACAGCTGCCACGTGGAACATGACCAAGAGATAACTGTTTCCTCGTAAACTACAGAATGTTCGATGAGTCTCGGTATGCTACTGAGATTTCAGGGTGTCTGCTCTTGCTGCCAAAGCTGACTAATGTGGTTGATCAAGAGAATACTGGTTTAATTGCCAGAGTAGGATCCAAGACCTTTTTGGTTTGCCCAGAAGGCACCTGATTGTAGAAGATTAGAATTCTGTTAGGAAATATTTACATCCTCCTCCTCCTCATTTCCCTGGGATGAAAACACTTCTCTCTATTGGGCATGGCAGTGTGAGTCACTTTGGCCTCAAGGTAGGTGGAGTGTACTTCCTGTCATTTGATGTTGGGCTTGGCCACATGGCTTGCTTTAGCCAATGGTAAAAGCTACTACTCACTACTTACCCCTTCTATACGGTCTTTAGATGTGGTAGAGGCTAGAAATGCACTCATGTGGCTGAACTTCTCTGACTTCAGCCATGGCCATGAGATAGATGTTCCCAGGCTCACCTGCTGGCCCCAGGGAGCCTTAGAGATGGTAGGAGAGCAGCTCCATCCAGCAAGCAAACCTGTCAGCAGCCTCCCGCCAGCCCACGAACATGTGAGCTAAATGAATGTTTTGTCTACCTTTATTCTAAAACCCCTACTCCTCCTTTCGCCGTCCACTCCTCTCACCCCTTGTGTTTGTATGGGCTACGCTCATACGAAGCATGTGGGAGGCCACAGCCCTTGTTGACAAAGCCTCTGTTACTACAGGGTTGGATAGGTCCATATTTGCTAGAGACATTTGTATGCTATGCAATAAATCCATAATATTTGGGTATTTTCCTTATTTTTTTCCATTTTAAAAGTTTATTTACTTATTTTTTAAATGTTTGCATTTTATCACTGTACACCTTTAGAGCATACAAAATTGATTTTCCCAACATGAATACAATGCATACCAAGAACAGTCAAGTCAAAGATATTACCATGGACATTATCGTCCACAGAAAGCTTTTCATTTTCATGTCTATTAAATGTTTCTCTTTCCCCCACCAATCCCCTGCTTCCGACCCCTCACTACTCACCCCCTTCTGTACTGTCTTTAGCATCCACAATTGCCCTCTCTGCCATTATACCCTCTAATCTTTCCGCTTCTGCCCCAGAGTGCAAACATTCAGTATATATTAAGGGGAGCATGTAATGTCTGTCCTTGGTCTGGCTTGCTTCACTTAACAATAAATCTCCTGTATTCATCCACTTTGTATCAAATGTCAGGGTCTCATTTTTTGTTTTATGGCTGAGTAGTATTCCATAATGTATAAGTGTCACACTTTTTCAATCCATTTATCTCTTCTTGGACATTTGGTTTCATGTCTTTGTGAATAATGCTGCAATAAACGTGGATATGTAAGTGTTTTTCTTTTCTTAAAGAATACTTTTATTTAACTTTATTTATTTATTTTAATTTGACCAGAGAGATAGAGTGAGAGAGAGAAGAGGGAAAGTGAGAAAGCGAGCCACCAGGTCTGGGACTCGAACCACAGCTGGCCACGTGAAGTCCAGAGCCCTTAACCACCATGCCACCTGCCAACCCCTGTGCAAGTGTTTTTCTGACTGAGTAATTTCCTACCCTTTTGATAGATCCCCAGGAGAGGAATTGCAGGGTCATATGGTAGTTCTAATTGTAGGTTTTTGAGGAAACTCCATATTGATCTCCACAGTGGTTATGCTAATTTACATTGTTCTCTGCAGTGGTTATGCTAATTTACATTGTTCTCTGCAGTGGTTATGCTAATTTACATTCCCATCAACAGTGTAGAAGGATTCCCTTTTCATTGCACCCTTGTCAGCACTTATCATTATTATTATTATTATTTTTTTTGGTCACGCCGCAATCCCTTCTCCTCCATTCTCCTCTCGGGATCTTGGGCACGCACGCAC